CTTTAATGATGGTCTCAGCTCCTTTAGGAATCGCTTTTGCTGCCGTATGTTGAAAAGACACAAGTTGTTGGGGCCTTATGTACTGCCTTGGAGTCTGGTCCAGTTTCTTGACTTGGCATGGCTCACCACACACCCCATCACTCACTAATTCCAGGCTGCTGAGTGGAAGCCACTGCTGTATGTCAGGTGAACATGGACTGGGTCAGACGAGTGCTGACCTCCAGAAACTTACAGTCTCAGGGCACATAAGCTCTAAATAGCATTTATGAAAACAGTACCTGTTAGGAGCCGTTAAGTATCAGAAGCACACATAACCTTGCAGTGGGGCCAGATGCAGAAACACAACTCCAGGGGCCATGAGTGTCACCACTATGTCTATGTTGGTCACTGTAGTGCTGGTTTATAGGCAAAAACTCTTTTCCTTGATCATAATCCTCAGGACAGATACATGTTCAAGGCAGCATACCTTACTCTTAGCAATTGTCAGGTGAGTAGGTGTGGACAGTGGCCCTTCACCTAAGCTTTGAGTCAGACCTCCCGATGTAAGGAGGAGAACACATCTTGGGCAATGGTATTCCTAATTACTTGAGTAACAGTGAAGTCATTTTAAAGGCCCAGATGTTGTGGGGACGCTTCTTCTGCCCTACTTATTGCCAGACACAGCCTACCTTTCTCACCGAAGTGTGCTAGGCAGGGCAATGTCAGTTCCGGGACATTGAGAAAGGGAATTCCTGGGCAAAGCCCAAGAATCCATCCTGTCATCCTGGACCTTCCAAGGTGGGAATGGAACTGTGGCCTATTTTTTAGATCAGCACTTAGGGGAACCTGTCTAGAGGCATTGCCCAACAGAGGGACCTAAAATGAGACATCTGTTAGAGTAGCTTTTAGAAAAACACCTAGGTAGACTGGAGACGTGCTAGAGAGCTCAGAAGGATCAGCTCACACTATGACTTAAGGCTTTTACACCCCACACATGGTGGCACACATCTTTAATCCTGGCCCTCAGCAAGCAGAGGCGATTGGCTCTCTAGAGTTCAAGGCCAACATGATCTGTATAGTGAGTTTCAGACCAGCCAGAGCTACACATCAAGACCCTGTCTGAAAAGAAAAGTATCTAAATTCTTTACAGAGTAGTGGGAATTACTTGTCAGTTCAGCTGGAAAGAGTGTCATAGGCAGAACAAAATAAACTGAACTAGTGAGGCCACAGAAACAGTACCTGTTAGGAGCCATATTTCCACCAGACTAGGTGGGGGAAGGGCTCAGCTGGGGACTTGTTGGGAGGATGGAATATGAAGAGTGCTGAGGGCCTGCCCAGAGCCCAGGCTGTGCCTTACATGGTGACAAGGTGTGCATCTTAATCCCCCAGAGAAATCTCCAGGGAAATGAGGGATGAGGAAGGAGAGCAATAGTTAAGGAGGAGGAGCCACAGAGAAGCATTTTGTCTGAGGTCATTGTAGCCTCTGTGGAGTGGTCAGGCTCCCAGTGAGGCTTGAAGAGGCAGGCCCATCTTCCTTTGAAGTTCTTTCTCTGACCTCATCAGAGGTCTATTGAAACTCCAGACACAGGAACCCAGAGACAGGAAGGTCGGCAGGAAGCTAGTATGATGTTGCAGATAAGGTGTGGATGATGATGATGGTATAGGCTTCAAGCACCACCCAGCCAGGAGGGCAGAGGGCAGGAGATCTGCAGTGTGTTTAGGAAATACAACAGCTGGCCTAGTAGCCACAGAGGGCAGGGCTTGAAGAGGAAAACTTCTGAAATGACTCTCACACATCAGGCACAGCCTGGAGGTGGCATGGCTGGCGCTTCTTAGAGTAGGAAGTATTGCAGAGGTTTTTTTGTTTGACCCTATTGATTTTGAGGTACCTGAGGTATAGCCAGTAGTCTGAAATTTGGTGTCAGGATGAGAACCTCATTAGCCCAGGATCTCTGGACATACTGGTGATCACCATGAACCCTAGCCATGGTGAGAGCCATGAGGAGACTCCCTCAAGGACTGTTGGCACTGGAATCTACAATCATGTAGAAATGAAGACCCCACCTGAAATTCACACTGAGCCAGACCACATAAGGAGATCTGGGGCCTGTTTTGTAATAAGTACCATGCTAGTTCTTACAAATGCATACATTTTTTATAGCTGTGGGCATGGAATGAGAGAAGAAGTCAGAATAGCAAGATTCGAGGTAAGCTTTAGATCAACTTGAAATAGGGACCCATTTGAGGCATGGCCAAGGCGTACTTTACAAATGATTTCAGAGGCTCCTAGAGACTTCAAGCATGACCTTGGCCCCAGCTAAAGAACCTGGTAAAAGAGAAACGTAGTCAACTCAAAACTATGAAGGAGGCTTAAAAAAAAAAAAATCACCAGAACTGTCTGCCATAGAGAACCAGGAGAGTCAGTCAGGGCAGGTTTTAAAACTAAAGACAGCAGCATTTGAGTCTCCAGGAGCAGCTGAATGATTTTGGAGACTGAGGGTGTTCTGTTTGTCTTCGGGAACAGAAGTCAGCTCTACAGGCAGCTTGGAGAGTGCGGACTAGGTGGAGAGGAAGAAGAGACCATCGCTTTCCTGGAAGACAGGAGCTGGAGGGGAGCAACTGGGAGTGAGGGCCAGCCCACTGGTGTTTATTAGGTGTGTCCTCTGAGTGAAAGATTACATTTCTAAAATCTGGGCTGCTGTTAGGGTGACCACCTCATGCTGGTGTGCCTAGACTGTTCCAGTTTCCATAGGGAATGTCCTACCTCCTGGGAAGCCCCTGAGTCACGTGGGCTTGTTGACAAGATGAAACAAACCTTCGAACCAGAATGGGTTAGCTGTTTTGTCTGACAGAAACTGTCAAACCACCATATTGGGCCTGGGCAGGGCCACCCCATCAGTTCTGGGTAGCTGACAGCTAGAACTTGGCAGCAGTGACAGCTACATAGCAGTCGAGATTTACTCCTCCCTCCTATACTGGCCGGATAAATGTCAAAAGGAGAATGTATGTCTTCTCCCATGTAGGCTTACTAGTTACAATAAGTGAAAGAAAGAAAGAAAAATACCGTTCAAAAGGGAAAGAAAACCGGGTTTTGGTTAACCACAGGTTTAATTTGAACCCATAGTGTTACAAACAACAGCGGAGGAGGGGAGAAACCCATGGCTATCATTACAACAACTAAAATATATTTCTTTTATCCCTCTTCTTACAACCTCTGAATCATGTGTGATGCCCCAGACACACTGCACCTACTTTGGGGGGCCTGCAGCTCTCTGCATACTGTGTGGTTCTTACCTCTGCTCCTGTCTGGGCTGCCTGTCTCCTCTGCCTAGACTCCTTATACCTGCTTTGTCTAGGAATTGAAGACCATCATCTTTAATCCCAAACTACATTTTTTCTAAGCTCCCCTGGTTCCCCAGAGCTCTCCTGGCCAGGTGAGGTGTGTGTGGTTCTCTGTCTGACTCTGTCTGTAAGCTCCTGGCAGCAGCCACTGCCCTGTCCATCTGTCCTCTGACTCACTGGCATTTGTGCTACAGTCAACACGTGCCCAGTTTTAGTGATCTGATGGGCTGCTATGAGCTGTTCAGAAAACACTGTGACTGGAAACAAGTAAAATATACTGAGACCAAGGTCTACGTCAGTTATCCAGCTGGCCTCTTTAGAAAGGAGTCAGTGCTCAGTTATTCAGAGGTTTGCTGTATGTTGTCAGAGCTGCTTTATTGAACACAATGGAGAATTGGATTGCATCGTCTAGGGCTCTTTTAAGCTCTGAGAGTCTCTAGTGAGCACTCAGTAGACACTTGCTGGGTATACTTTACCAGAAGATAACAATCTCTATCCTGGACCACAAGATCTGAGCTGCAGAGAAAGTCTTGAGCTCAGCCCTCAATACTCAGGGTGAATTGGCCACATTTCCTATCCAAGCCTTTCCAAGAGGACTGACTAATCCTTTAAAAGCACCATGTCTGTGCTGGGGACAAGGCTATTTCCAAATATTTTGGTTCCCTGCCCTTCATATGATAAAATGAGCACATGTGACATTTCCTTGCTTGCTTGGTCCGGTTGTTACGCTTACTCAACACTGTCACTTTGCTTCACTGTTACTCTACAAGGTGTAGACTGTCTCAGTCCACCGTGTGGTCCACACTGGGCTGGTGTGGCCTCCTTTCTAAGCACTGTCAGTCTCCAGTTGTCAGCCTCCCCTTACCTTTTTGGTTTGGGAATCCTTACATGCCATTAAGACTGTAGTCAAGATTCTGGGGCTCTGAGAACTAAACAGCTGGGCAGTGTAGTGTGTTCATTTTAGTGGTGACATTTGACCTCTGCAGAGGGAAGGCTCCTGCTAACTCCTTGGTTTTCCGTCATATTCTAAGCAGGTGCCCTTGCTTTGCCAGGTGTCTGTAGCCTAGAGCCAGTGTGTGTGAGCAACTGTTGCTCAGTTCTTTAGGTCACGTAACCTCATTGTCCACATGGCATTTCTGATGCTGTCCTGCCTTGACACTAGATATAAATTGGAGATTTTGTTGGATGCTGCAAAGAAAACCTCTGTGAGGTGTACTCTGGAGTCAAAACTGGCTGAGCATCTAAAATCCTATCCCTGGGTACCTAGGTAAACTCCTCAGCATCTCAGCCACTGTTTCCTCATCAAATAGGGGTAATTAGTGGCTACTTCAAGCTATGTATGAGGGAGGCAACAGTACTTACATTGTATTATGTAACACAGGGTTTCTAAGAATTAACTAATAGTTTCTCTTTCCCTCAAGCACACCTCCCTGCAAAGCAAAGTGATGAATCTCCCAAGCTGTGGGATTTTGGCAGATGCTCATTCACTCTCCAAGGTCTTTTTTTTTGGGGGGGTGCAGGGGGGTGAAGTGATCACTTCATAGAACAGCACTGCTGTGGACAGGTGGAAGTTCTAGCAGCAAGTTCATGTTGCCTTTGACCTCTGTTTCAGAAGGACAGGGCCAACATCGATCCACCTTGGCCAAGTGTGACACTGTATTTTCTTGCTCTTTCTGCAGTGAACAGAGTATCTGCCAAGCACGGGCCTCTGTGATGGTCTACGATGACACCAGTAAGAAATGGGTACCAATCAAGCCTGGCCAGCAGGGCTTCAGCCGGATCAACATCTACCACAACACTGCCAGCAACACCTTCAGAGTTGTTGGGGTCAAGCTACAGGATCAGCAGGTATCTTCGAGTCAGCATCATACCCCTGAGCTGTAAGCTTACCAGTGCATGCTTGGGGAAAAGAGGGCCCAGATACTTCACCATCTGGAGTGAGAGTCATTTCCCATGTCGTATGCAAACACTAAGCTACACCTGTCTGCTCCACTGTGTCAGATGAGAATGCCATGACTAATAAGATACAAAGTAAGATAAAATATTCTGTCAGATCAGAATAAAATAATAATTGTGAGAAGGCTTTGAAAAGTATAGTTCGTGTGGGCTTGGGAGGTGGCTCCGTAGATAAAAGCACACAAGCTGTGCACAATTGAGGAAGACACTTGGCATCAACCTCTGCCTCTACACTTATATGCATATATGCTTACATACGTGCATACCAAACACAAAAAGAAATAAAAAAGAAAAATATACTGTATGGATCTTTCACTCTGATTCTGTACTAACCTTTGCGTTTAGAACTTTGCTATTGAGATTTTGGGTTATACCCCCAGCCCTAAGATGATCAGAGGATTGTATTGTCTCTCCCTAACATACAGCCTGGACAAATCAGCTGAAGTAGTATGTACTGCGCTGAGAAATACACTTCCAAGTATAAGTAATGTCTCCTGTCCATCCATGTCACACATAACCAAGGCAAACTAGTCCAAAGTAACTTGCTAAGTGCCCCGGTGCTCCACACCCTGTTGCCTTAGGGAGGACTGACCAGGATTCTGCACGGTAAGGCTAGAAGGTCTATGGTTTCATTGTTTATAAAAACTACGACTGCGATGGCTCAGTAATTAAGGGACTGTCCTTCCAGAGGACCTGAATTCAATTCCTAGCATCCACATAGCAACTTACAAGTGTCCATAAAGTCCAGGGCATCCGATACCTCTGGTTTCTTCAGATACCAGGTGCTCACAGACATGCATGGTGTTTAGACATACATGCAGGCAAACGCCCATACACATAAAGCAACAATAACAATAATGATAATAAAATAACAACAACACTTTTATAAAACACCTCTCCTTAAATGGTGTTTTCTGACAGCTTTGTGGTAAGGCTGGCTAAGAGAATACTAGGTTTCCTGCTGTCTCTGAAGCCTATGGCAGTAAGTTAACAACATTAAGAAAAACTTGGAGTTCTTGTATACATATTGCCCACTGGACAGGGCAATATGTCTGCATTGGCCAAAGTAGTCCTAGTAAGTTTCACAGGCTTTGTCCCTGTTAGGCAGAAAAGACAAACACACTTCAGGACTCCAGCTCTGAGGTAGTCTGCCTAACCCTGAACTCCTGTGGCCTTTAGAGGCACTCCTTGCCCTTGGTGGCAATTTCTTTCTAGGCATATCCTTTGCCATGAAGGCACTGTTCCTGAACCGTAGTGGGGGTCTCTAAGAGGTTGTTTTTTTCAAATCTAGAACTGTGGCTAGCAATCTCATTCAGTGGCCCATGCATGCTAAGCAAAGGCTGCATGTGTGCTAGGCAGGTGCTCCACCACTGAGCACAGCTGCAGCCACTTGGTCACTCGTGACCCTCCAGTGCTGTGAAATGAATAGATTTCTTTATAAAGTTAACCTGCTTCTGTGCCTCGTTATAGTAATGGAAACAGACCAACCACAGCATACTGTTGAAGATGCTGTGTGTTTCACGGCGAGCCCATGAGGGAAGCTGGGGTTTAGGTAAGATTCTGGGAAGATTGTTCTGTCATTAGATGGAGCTCTGTGTGGGTCTCAGAGTCTTTACCAACTTATATCGTTTTTTTTTAAATCCTAGCCAATAGCACAGGGACCAAGAAGACTGTTCTCTGCCATAAGCTCTTCTCTTCCTAAAAGACCTTTAGATTGATTTTACTCAGAAGCCTCAAAACCGTGTTAGACAATATTTAGTGTTTCAAGGGCCTTAGAAACAAACAACAACAACAACAAAATCAGGAAAGGCATTCCCACATACTCCTACGCTCTCCAAAATAAGACCATGGTGTGATTATGGGCTCCCGTGTGGAAAGTGCAGCATTTAAAATAAGCTCATCCTTTGAAAGTACCTAAATCAGCCCTGCTGAAGAGTAGGGAATTATCTTTAAAATAAACCTGGCTAGAAAAGCTGGTCAGCCGGTATGTATGTCAGATACGACGGGCAACAAGTATTCCAAAGGAGAAAAGAGACTGACCTTTTTAAGACGAGGCTCCACTAAAAGACGAGTCACAGCAGCCCTAAATTTGAATGTATCTAATAATGTGCTTTCCAAGTATATAAAGCAGAAATGGACCAATCTAAAGATCTCAGGAAATAGACTAATTGCGGAGCTTACTTGCAGATTGTGATCATGCCTCCAAGTAGCGTACTGAACAAGCAGACAGAAATGAAGGAAAAGTTAGGGATCTTGTTAGCATTATTAACCACCCTGACCTGGTTTATGTTATGGAAACTGCAGCCAACAGCTGTACAGTACTACAGTGTCTTAGTTAGGGTTTCTATTTTTGTGAAAAGGCACCATGGCCACAGTCACTCTTAATAAAGAAAACATTGAATTGGGGCTAGCTTACAGTTTCAGAGGTTTAATCCATTATCATCATGGTGGCACGTAGGCAGGCATGCTGAACGAGCCAGGAGTTCTGCATTTGGATAGGCAGGCAGCAGAAAAAGAGCCTGGCTTGAGCTTCTGAAACCTCAAGCCCACCTATAGTGACACACTTCCTCCAACAAGGTGCTGCGCAGACAGAGCCAGTCCAGGGGAAATGAGAGAACACTGTCAGCTCATTTTGTTGGCAGTGAGCCGAGGCATGTAATCAACTCTGCAGACTCAGCCAGCCTCTAGCTCCAGCTCTCCCATTAGTTTACTCTGTAACTTTGTAAGTCACTTGCTTTCCCTGCCCCCCTCCCCAACTTCCCAACCATGAAAAGAATTCCTGAGATCCCTGTGAGTTCTTCACAGTGATTCTGCTGTCCGCACTATTTCTGTACCTGGGATGGATATTCCGTTCCTCTTGATTTCTGTACCAAGTCCCCTCCGAGAGCCAGGCATCTCACCTCACAGACGGAAGTCTCACTTCCTCTGAGCATCTCTCCAGGGAGTCTTGGTTTGCACACCTCCAGCAGATTCACTTCCAGGCCTCTCACTGCTTTCTCTTCTGCTTGCTCTGACTTTTTTTGCACTTGTTTTTTGAGACAGTTTCTTTGTGTAATAGCACTGGCTGTCCTGGACTTGCTTTGTAGACCAGCCTGGCTTCAAACTCAGAGAGATCCCCCTGCCTCTTCCTCCCCAATGCTGGGATTGCAGGGTGTCCCACCATGCCTAGCATTGCTCTGGTTTCTTAATGTCCATGAAAACTATAGATGGAAGATTGAGCACAGAGCTGCTGCTGCGTGTTGACTGTGACAAAATGAAGCCGGGTCTTAGCTCCCGGGTTCTATATGTGACTCCAGCCTCTAACCTTAAAGAGCCACTTTAACCTGGCTCACTGGGCAGTCCATCTCATACATACACTTCACAAAAGCCCTTTTCAGTGGCCTGAAAACTAGACCAGTCAACTGCGAGTTTAGGTCTTGTGCTTACCAAGGCACATGTAAATCTGCTCCTACTCGGGAACCTGTATATAGATGTTAGCCAAAGTCCCTACCTGTGGCTGTGTAGCAATTAAGTTGTGAAACGGTTCATCTCTTCTCCTGACTTAGTGCATGTGTGTCCAATGGGTCATCTCGCTTCAGTCCTTTGTAGTTGGACCCAAGTCCATCTTGCATAGGATAGGGACCTCGGATGCTGCTGTTCTAGATACCGTCCACAATTGCTCTTCTGACTTGTCCTGATTCGGGAGCACAGCAGTCTGAGCGGTCAGGGAGAGCAGCAATCCATTACCATAGTCTTCCCACTCCAAGTGCGGGAAGACTCATACTTGGAGGGTCACACAGCAGAGTGTCCTCAGGCTACCATTGACTTCAGGAAGCAACACTTACTAAATAGCCTGAAATCATTCTTTCAGTGTCTAGAAGAGTAAACACCTAGAGGCCAGCAGACCTGCTGCTGAGAGTGTCTGCCTTCTCCTTCCTGCCTGGCTTGACATTGCATCTGACACAGTGATGTCTGTTAGGTGATTAATAACATAGGCAGTAATGAGGCTGTATGTCTATGTATATATTAATTTCTACAAGTCATCTTTGAAACTAGAACTGTTTTTATGAATTCTCAATGCTTTGCTGAGGCCTGTGGGAAACCAAGACCAAATTTCGAAGACCGTTACCTTCTGGAGCGTCATATTTAGGAGATATAACGCATAGATAAGATAGCTGGCTTCTGGAGATCCTTTTAGAATCCCCACAAGGTCAGTAAGGTAGCATTAGATCTTCCATCTTATTGGGGAATCTAAGCCACAGAAAACTGCATTGATCCCCTAAGTAGCACAGCCGAGAGACAAGGTCTGGACCAGAACCCAGCCAGGGTGCCTGGCCCCCAGCTCTGGTTAAATGAAATAGCAAGTTTTGCCACCATTCAGTTGTGGTCTGAAATGGTCCGATCGCCCTTTCCCTTCTGTGGACCTCACCCACCCCCGCCCTGTGGCTGAAAGGATACAGTGTCTTTGCCCCACGGCAGTTCCCTGCAGCTCACTTACGTTTTACTTATTTACGTGTATTTCTCCTTTTCTCCTCCAGGTTGTGATCAATTACTCAATTGTGAAAGGGCTGAAGTACAACCAGGCGACACCCACCTTCCATCAGTGGCGAGATGCCCGTCAGGTCTATGGCTTAAACTTTGCAAGTAAGGAAGAAGCAACCACATTCTCCAATGCCATGCTCTTTGCCCTGAACATCATGAATTCTCAAGAAGGAGGTAAGCAGGGCTGAGACACTCTCTCTTGTTCTGTGCCCCAGCTCCGGCTGGCTGTCATCCTGACGTGGCTACTTCACTGTTGACATGCTATAGATCCTGGTCCGTGAGGTTCAGAGTATTGACTGAGAGGGAGTAATGTGCCATTTGTGAAGTACAGGTCTGCAGTGAGGTGCTCCTGAAGCCCTCTGTGAGGTGTGCTTTATGTCACCCATCCTACTTCCATGTCCCAGAACATACACCTGGCAAGAAACTGGCTAGGAGATAACCAGAGTCCTAAGCTCTCAGCGCTTTAGGATTTAGAGTTCACAGACTAATAACTAGCTGACCTAGTGTCTGCAGTGAGTGCTGGGATAAAAGTGTATGCTGAGTGCTTGATGAGCACAAAAGGAAACAAGGAGCTGCCTGTCTGGGCCATAAGGGAGACCGACCACAACAGCAGTACTGGCACAGAGAGAGAACATCAGTGCCTGGGGCCTGGGTCCAGCTGCATAGCAGCTCAGCTAGCTAAAACCGGAAGGGTGGCAGCTTGGACCCGGTAAGGCTTGCTTGGCATGGGGACTAGCAACAGCACCCAGGCAGAACAGCAAACTGCTCATGCAGCAGCTTTGAGGGAGGACAGAGGCCTTCCCATCAAGGGTGTCTTGCTGGCCTCGGACATTGACCCTACAGTTGACAGGCATCTTACTTAACCACGGTGGAGCATAGTGGGTGGCCATGGACTAGGCTTGGAGTCACTGTGCTTGGTTTGAGATCTAGTTTGCGTCATTCCAGCCAAGGAAGCCTTGAGCAACTTGGCTGAAGGTTCCTTGCGTACAAATGCAGGTGTGGAGACTTGCTTTACATTCAAATGAGCCAGCCATACTGTGTCAAGTTAGGTTTTCTGGTTGGAACCCAGGGATTGTGCAGCTGTGCTTCGTCTTGGTTTGGTGAGCTCTGCCTCTGCTGCAGCCCCTGGCAGGCTTCTCGTGCCAAGGATCAGAACTCAGACAGGACAGTGAGGCTGGCTCCTGCCATCACTCGGGTCCCTTGCAGGAGAATAAGGAGGGCTTCCTCACTCTGTCCTGCTCAGTTTCCCTCTCCAGCAGCAGGGAGACCCTCTTTAATTCACTTGAGTCAGTAGGAAGAAGCCGGGTTCTAACCCAGTACGTTGCAGAGTTCCGGTTTGGGTTTTATCTCCATTGGTGCCCTAGACTCTGAAAAGGCAGGCTTGGTGTAGATGAAGATTATTCCATGGGGAAGGCATGGAAACGACAGTATTTTTTGTGTATAAGCCACACCTGCTAAACACACTGCAGCATGCAGCTAGAAAACAGATTTCGAATTTTCTGAGCTAGAACTTAAGTCTGTTTTGAAGAAAAAAGTATGTTTTAAACAGTTCTAGATGTCCTAAATTTTATAACTATGGCATGCATCAGAGGGAAGATAGGTTTGATTCTGTTTGTAACTTTACTGAGAGTTGTTTTCTGTTTTGGAAAACCCAGTCTCCACTGTTGTAGCTGTGATATTTTAGTCATCCAGATGACTCCCCTGTAACAAGTCTGTCTGTGGCAGCCATATTTCCTCAGAGTCTCTGGGCAGGTGCAAGCAGCTCTCTGTCTCTTGTAGGTGTGTCTGGCCTTTTACATACACGGTGGACACTTATAGATTACTTCTCTGCCTCCCCTTGCAGAACATTTAAGGTGCTACCCAGATTTTTCTGATCTATGTAGAGCAGGTATATAATCCCTGAATTGCATTTCAGGGTAACAGGAGACTTTTCAAAATGTTGGCTATGGAGAAGGGCTTCAGTTCTGAGGCTGGAGAACTGTGTGGCCTGGGAGCTGTGTGAAATCAGACTCCCTCCTTGTTCCCCATGGCAAGCATTTGGTCCCAGCCATCGATTAATGAACAGGGTGCGAGTGAGCATTGCTCCTCCATTCATCCTGAGACAGCAGGTATCAGAGGAGAAGAGCGTAGTAGGAAGAAGCAGGCCTCCTCGACTCAAGCTTCTGTTTTGAGCATGTTGGTGCGTCTGCAGATGGTTGGAATGGCATTTGCTGGTGGTTATGTGAGCTGACTGTTGTGTAGGATGCCTTGTGCCAGGGAGATGCCCTTAAGGGCTACCCCCTCACCCCGAGCCCTGTTTCCACGTCCTGCATTCTCTCTAGACTCACCACAGACATCTTGTAATAATGTTATTCCAAGAGAGCAGGGCCAGGATGGCACTTGAAGCAAGGTGTGCCTAGGTGGTAGAACTTTACCTCCCTCCCCTAAAGCTTCAGCTGACATTTCCAAAGGCAGATGTCTAGAACCCAGACAGGCTCTACAGAGTTGGCACTGGGGAAGGACCTGAGATGTCACAAAGCCACAAGTTTATTATTGGTAGTCAGGGCTTGGGTCAGGTGTTTCCAGGTTGGAGGCCTCTTAGCCAAACAACTGAAAATATCACAGATTTGAAAAAAAATTTAGAAGATAACTTATCTAGAGCAAAGCCAAGGTGCATTTTAAAGATCTGAGGAGGTTCCAGAGTGGTTAGGTCCCTTGTTCAGAGAGGGGATGTGTGCATAGTCCATGCAGGAACACACTGTCACGACTGACAGTAGGCCTCATGAATGTGAGGGATCACTCGGGCCCAAGTCATGTTCTGAGGCTCCCCCTTCCTTCCGGGGTTCAGGAAGAAGAGGAAGTGGTTACTCAGGGTTATAGTTTAGGAGGTTTTGTTTTGGTTAATAGACTCGGTCACAGTCACCTTGTCTACTGTGCATCTGATTGTAATGATATGACACGCATACCCAGTATTCACTGGGATAGGAAATATGGGGTTATAGACAGTTTTGCTTTTTACAGTCAAAACCAGTTCAGGGCAGATCAGCTCTTCCATTCTCCTGCCTTTCTACCTAGAAACATTAGGAATGCACCTGTATAGAAGCGTATCCAAATTCAATAGCTATGCATGGCAGAGAAACTTGTACTGTTTAGAGAGGAGGTACGTGTAGTCTGATATCATGCAGGTGGGAATTTGAGGAGGTTCTGAGGTTGTTAGGTGCATTGTTCAGAGAGGGCTGTGTGCATCGTGCATGCAAGTGAAAGAGCTAGGCTGCCAGGTGCATTATTGCAAGAGGGGTGTGTAGAAACCAAAACCAAATGGGTCCCAGGCTACTAAACTACTCCTTGTGTTTGCCTGCTTCAAGTTTGCATTTTGTAGGTAACAGAAGTAACAGCTGGGGTGGGGCCTACACAGCGTAGATTAAAGTTAGGTCCACAACCAAGGGTCCTCCCGATATCCCAGGCAATCTGGGTTTGAGATGTTGTTTCTTCCTGGAGTCTGGGGTCATAGTGGGGCTTTGGGAAGCAGGCAGGTACAAGGCATCTTGTCTCTTTTGGTTCTTGCTAATGAAGACCATGCAGACCTTCCCAGTAGGTATAATGTAGGACCCACAAACACTTCTGAGAGTCAGACTGCCATATTCAGAGCTCAGGACTCTTCCTTTTGGCATACTAAGAATACTTTTGCCCCCACAAGCCTGAGTTACAGTCCCTGCAACAACAGCCTGAGCTTGACTTCACAGGGGAGCAGCCTGCTATTGCTGACAGCCCCTCTGACCCTGGGCAAGACCTAGGCCTCAGTTTCCCATCTAGGATGCAGTACCTACCAGAAATGAGATCACGAAGGTAAAAATGGTAATGACAAGAGTTTTGAAGACAAGTAAGTGCAGAACAGCTTTAGCCTGAAGTTAGGGGTTAGCCACATAGTGTGTCCGAGCCCTCTGTGGAGGAAGGCGGCTCCTTTAAATGCATGAACTGGCTACCAGAAGTTGCAGCCTGGCAAAATCCTGGATGTTAGACACGGTCTGGAAAGGGGCAGGAGGCAGAGCAGGGGGATGAACGATCAAAGGCAAGGCTGCAGGTTTGGGATTGGATTGGACTGACGTCAAATTGGTTGTCTGAGAAGTACCAGGGGCCAGCGTTCTGTATAGACTTCACTCAGACCTGTGAATAGGCTTGGTCTGTCTCCTCACTGTGGACCTGGGAAAGTCTTAAACCTCAGAGCTTCTTGAAGTCAGCCTCAGTTTTGCTTCCCACAAACCTTATTTTGCTAGAAATTATCAAACTTTTCCCTCGAAGAAATAGAACTCCTAAACTGTTTTTGCATCTCCCTCACTGTGGGGCTGTTGGTATGGCTTCCTCTGGATGTGCCTTTTGTGCTTGGTGGAGGCCAGGTCACACTTCCTACCTAGGCTTTGTTGCCAGGCTTCTGCCTCATCCCATCTGCCCTGCCCGCTACTGGCCACACTGTAAAAAGTGGCCCTCTGTATTTGTCCACCCACCTCATTAAGAGATGCAGGGTCTCTGTAGCAGTCTCCATGCCAACGATACACATGCCCCCTTCGCACTTTGCTCCTGCTATACCTCTCTCACCTCTGACCCACTCTGACCCCCTTCTCCCTCCTCACTTGCCTGACATATTCAGAATCCCCTTAGTTCCTCACTCTCCTCAGTGTGCCCCTTGGTACTGCATTTTTTGCTCCTATCCTGACAGTACCACTTGGACAGCACAGTTCCAGCACATGGATTCAGTCAAGATTGGAAATTAAGAAACAGTCCCTAGAACCTCAAAAGCCAGCATGATATCTGATGTGGGGTACACCCTGACAAGGCTTGGGGAACACTCCAAGTCTAGGGGATGTGGCAAGCCTGGAGATCATTTACAACCCCTAGTCCTGAAGGCAGTTTCAGCTGCCTTAGACCATGTTTGAGGAGGAAGGAATGTGTGCTGCGCCAAGTCCAGGACATCTCTATCTCATGGTCTCCCACCAGCTCCCTCGTCTTCAGCCCATACATTTACTGTCCCTCTCCTGACTGTAAGGACAAACCCAGCAAGTTAGCCTTGACTTCACTTTCCAGACAAGGGCTAAGCATACGTCTGGCCTGGCTGCCAGTGCTGCTTAAGTCGCCGACCTCCATAGCCCTCCACAGTGCACCCTGCCTTTGATTGACTTAATGACTTGACCCAGAGCTCT